TGTGTGTATATTAAAACATATTTGTATAAAAGAAAACTGTGTATCAATCTTTTTGGCAAATATCATAAACTGACTATATATCGGCATATATTTAAATACTAAATTTAAATTACCAGTTAACTCAATTTCAGACCATTTGAAATTCTAATATGTAACAGTTTGTAAAACCTACTTTTTTGTAATATAAAGATTTTAATACCAAATGCAGAGTCAGAGTCAGAACAGTTCACTCAGGCATCAAAACAAGGAAGGAGTTCACTACAGTAACAGAATATATACTTCATTCCTATGAAAAACTGACAGGAATGACTAATCCCAAAAATGAAAGTAAAAAAACGTTTTTGTGTAATAGTATTGTTACCTACAACCTTATTATAATGCTACATAAATGCAAGCAAAAATATAATACATTTTCATATTTGTGCATATAATCTTTCAAACATATTTTTAAAACAAATCAAATATATAATTATATTAAAATTCTCAGAGTTGTACTAATATTCCATTAATTTTTTTCTAAATATGAGAACATTATGCAAGATCATGCAAGTGCAACTTGGCATTAGTTAACCCTTTCAGCACAGATATCAACTGAGGTAACAACATTTCATGTTTGAAAAATGTACGAGCATTGATTTTATGGAAATCCTCATATACAGTGTAATATTATTCAGAAGTAATGCTTGGGTCTGTGATTTTAACTTTGTCACTCAAAGTGATAACTACTTTGAAAAAAGTACAAAATCTTTTATCTTACCTCTTGTAATTTCATCAAGAAGAGCAGATTTAGAGTTTGTAAAGTTTGGTTCTGTTCCATATTTTAGCTTATGAAATTTTATTCTGCAAAAATAAATAAATAAATTATTAGGTTTAATTTTTATTTGCTTAATCATAAAATTTAAATCTCCAAGCAACAATAGTATATTTCCAATATACCTCTGTGATGTCAAACTGTACATTCAAGCAATTATCATTTTATCACCTATTAAATGGAAAATTTAAATTTCAAATTACACAAAGTATAGCATGATTAAGAAGGATTATAGTTATAATAACTTACCACATAAACTATACAGAAGGTATAATATTTGTTAATTCAAACATAAGTTGCAACCAGTTGACATGCTATGAAATGATTTTCCTTTACAGCTAATACAGAATAAGAATAGTTCACACATAAAGTTAATTTATGTAATGTTACCAATGACAGCTTAGCAGATATCAATAAAGCATTAAAGAATTATTTGTTTGTTGTTAAGTACAAAGCTACACAATGGGCTATCTGTGCTTTGCCCAGAATGGGTATCATAACCTAATTTTTAGTGTTATTAAGTTCTAAGATTTACCATTGAGACATCAGGGGTAACAAAGACTGATTGCAAATACTCAATTACGTCATAAAATATAGTCAAAGCCAAAAATAAAACAATTCACTTTAATTTCAGTTAAGAACTTTATTTTATGGTAAAACACCATTCCTAAAATTAACAAGATATTCAATTCCTCAAGTTGAGAAGAGGTAAGAAAATGAAAAATTCATTAGATAATTCAAACAGGATCTCATCTGAAGAAAGGATGAAGAATATGTACAAGGTAGATGCAACCATACCAAAGGTAATGTACATAACTTGGAAAATTACACCATGATGCATCAACTGATGTTAATGACAATATTAATGTCCAATAAAATTATCTGAAAGATGCAACTTTGCTACTTTATACTCTACCTATTGCATATCATTGAAGACAAGGTTGTTTAAAAATTTGACCAGGCAGAGTCAGAGTAATCCAGAACCATAAATACTCAAAAATAGATTTGAGGTGACAAGGAGTGAAGTGGACCAGTCTTACATAAAGACTGGTCCTAAGTATACTCAGAAAGAAGGCATTTTCCCAGCAGGGAACCTTTTCATCCAAAGAAGGGTCAGTTACGACACAAACGTGTTTACCTGTGGTATCGAAAATGAGAGCACAGATAGTAGCATAAACAAGTATAAGAATAATATAGCTGTAGTGAATGGTTCTTAGGGGAACAGACCAGCCAAAATTTGAGTGTACGAACTATTGGGCTTTAGCTTCTTTCATCCTCATCTGAAAAGGGCAGTTCGTCATGAAACCAAAAAGTCGGTGGTTGCTCAAACAGAATCAAATAAAGACCTAAGATGTTCTAAGGATGGGGCTCAAACACTCAAAGACAGTGCAGTTGAAGATGGTTATCCCCATTGCAACCCCATGAACCAGAGAATGACCAAGCTGTTGGTTGGCACACTCATTGAAAAGCTGAAGGGTCAATTTGTAGGGAAAAGTTGATCTCTGGACAGAGAATCCACAAGAATGTTCATAACATCTAGTACATGACAAGCTATGTACTTAGAATGGCATCAAGTGAGAGTCAAGTTGGCAAACTCAACGAGCTACGTGTCTCTTATTAGTTGTATGCATATTATCATATATTTCAACTTACATTAACTACCTGAATAGTTGTGTTAGAGATTAATACTTTGAGAAAGTGTTACTCAAAAGAGGATACTGGTATAGTTCTCATCAATAAACTGAAACAAGCATTGCTGTAAAAAGTAATAATTAAGTTCTGCATCTTGGGAAAACACAAATGTAAAGGTTACATAAAAAATACTGACAAGCCACACAAAATAAACTATCCATGAAAGGTTATTAGAAAAAAACAGTATAATAATAATAAAATAAGAACCATTATGTTTTAATATGTCCTAATATAAAATTATTAAGATTTTTTTGCATGACACTACTTCAAGTTAGTTCTCATCAATTACATTCTTTGGATGCATTCATTACAAACTTGCTCATGTGAATAGCATGGGTGAAGATGTTGCCAATCGATAAACATCTTGTAAGATTTAAAATTCTGTAATTTTTTTTTAAATAGTGGAAGTAATGGGTCATAAATGAAAGCACTGAGATAGGCCTTGAAAATTCTAAATACTTTGTTTCAAATGTTCTTGTACATTCAAAGCTAGATTATAAATATGTGATAGTTGTTTCATGAGTAGAGTTAGATGAAAGACAGTATAGAAGATATACATAGTTTGTTTCCAAGAAAATGTTATTTCATGATAAAGATTTAAATTTGTAAGTGTATTTTCATGAACTATTTGGATCTATGTTTACTATTGCCCCTATTGAGATACTTTGTACAAATTGATTTTACATTAATCATATGATTATTAGAGCAGTCTGAACATTATTTTTAAGGTAGGCCTACAACAATTCATGGTAGTGTACAAGTGTTTAAGCTTGTAGAAGTGTTAAATGAGGAAATAAAGTAATTTGTTCTTCTCATATGAACTGAATGTTGAATCATTTTCATCAGATAATTTAAAAGAACACATCAGTGAAAGAACAATGTTAAAACAATATGGTTACATTCTCTGAATAGTTTAGAAGAAAAGGTGCAAGACTTTTAAGAGTCAAAGCAGGATTTCTAGAGTCATACGAAAGAATTCTAATCGCAGACACCGAAATCTATAGGTCCACTTGTCTTAGTCCTAACATTAATTAAGCCTTTATTAAGTATGGCCTATATTCGATAAAGAGATAAATTAACACTGTAACTTGCGTACGTTTTTTGCTTTAGTTCAGTTGGGGTTAAACTGTACCACACTTAATACTATCAATGAATAATCTTCTAATATTATTCTGATGTAACATTACACCTTTTTAGAAACTTTGATAAGCGCTTTTAATATGTTGTATAAAATGTCCATTAAGGTATATTTACATCCATCCTGGTGTGACTCGATGATTTAACAAAGATACGTTTTCAAATTGCGAAAAAGGTGCAATTTTTTGTACATTTTAGTCCAAATATATCTTTAATTTTTGATCAGTCATAGACTACTAGCTTCAAATGGACAGGAAGCAAAACTACTTAAATTATGTAGTGTGTGACCGAGAGAAAGAGAGAGACACACAGACAGATACACATTGTGTTTTATAGTATTAAATTCCTATTTTTAAATGGAGGTGATAAAATTTCCCCAGGAGATTGCTGGCTATTTAGTCTTACTCCTGTACTGTAGTGGGAAACATTCTTCACTGCATAATAAAAGAAGCTCTGCAAAATATTTTGGCAGATGCCTATTTAAACAATTCAATGATAATTTTCCTAAAAATAGTGATGAATAAATATAAAAATGAGCAGTCAACCCAATCCCTTCAATCAGAGCATATAAGCAATATGACTGTCTATGGGCTGTTTACAACCATCTTTTGTCAATCCATGTGTCATTTCAACAACAAAAATTGCATTGCATTTGTTTTTAAGCAAAGGAGACTGAATACAATGCATTGTCAACAAAAGTCATTTTTAGATGCAATAGGTGCATCCAGCACATTAAAGTACTCAGCTTCACTAAGTATCTAATGGGATTTTTTCTGCTGGATGATACTGTTCCTTATCATTTTACTCAGCACAAGGATAGACCACTATGGAAGTGAGCACTTTTTGACAGTTATTTCTATATGAACTGTCCAAAGGAGAGATATTAAATTTTAAGTAAAATCATGCATGTATATAATACCAATATGAAAAAACAACAAAAAAACTCAAACACATTACTCTCTTTATGCATTTTTTCCATTCACGCTCCCATCTTTGAAATTTCTTTCAATCAGCTGATAAAAGAAGTCCCATTTTTTCATGCAATTCCCTCAAAAAAAAAAAATATTTGTTCTTAGTAAGTTCTCTCTCAGACTGACCATTTAAGCACATACAAAGACTGATTGATGTTGATATCAATATAAAATTTTCAGAATAGCAAAAAAATTAATAATTTCCAGTAATTTACTTTTGAAAATGTGCATTTTGATGTATATTTTTTCATACAATTAACTGTTCATGAGATACAGAGCATGACAAAGATATCTGGCTATTACATATGTAGGTAAGATGCAACCAACATGGATTCAATAAAGGGAAAGCTTGTCTTATAAAATTGTTAAATGTTTTTTGATGATATTACTTATTATCTGAATGATGCAAAAGATGTGAAGTTGGTGTTCTTAGATTTTCAAAAGATTTTGATAGGGTGTCACACAGAATATTAGCTAAGAAAATCACACTGGTGAGGGTTGGGAAAATTAATTAATGGGACTGAAGGATGACCTGATGACAAAAAACATTTTGTTATTAATCCTTTTATGACCGATGAGCACCTATCAGGTGTTCAGTACACATTCGCGTATCAAATTCTAAAATTTAAGTAAAAATAAAAATTCTAACTTCATTTCAATCATTTAGTGTAATTCACAAATAAAAATTTTCAAAATTGAATTTCTGCATTAAAGAACACCCTTACTGAGTTTTATGCCTATCCCAAAGCATAGTTTTATAATTGCTAAGAATCTACCATCCTTTGAGATGATAAATAACCATGTTTTGTTTCTCACATAATTTTTCTTCATTAATTTTATTGGTACAGCCCCTTATCCTACCCATTTATAATCTCACAGCATGTGATCTAAACCACTAATGAAGCTCAGCTCCAAAAACAGCTACAATGTGTAAATGCCATTGAATAAGGTAGATTATAAATTTTTTACAAGAATGTAGAACAAATAAAGTGGTATGAGAAGTAATTTACAGTTTCTTGGAAAACTAACAAGACTTGTCTCCAAGAAAGAACAATAGAATCTAATGGGAAGTTTAGATGACTTGTATAGAAACCATAAATCTGGGAACTTTTCTTGAGTTTATTTAGATGTTTTCATTCCTGAAAATGTTAAAAGTATACTTCTTTGAAATTTTCAAGTACATGAATGGCTTACCTTTCTTGCTTAAGTGCATACTCTAACATTTTTATTCTTCTTATCAAATCATTTTTTAGATTTTCTTGTCCTTTTCTTTCTCCTTGAAGAAATGCTATCCTAGCCTAAATGAAGAGAGTAAAGTTAGTTAAATAGAAATATTTATCATATTAAGTATTAACATTTTGTCATAAACAAGGTAGCATAAGGATGAGTATAAAATTATTGATACTTCACCTCAGGGTTTATCATTGACAAAAAATAAAAAAAAAAAGAAGAGAGATAACAGATTTCCTGTAATCTATTTGCAGAAAAGTTATAGAATGTTGCTGTTACTAGATCATGGTCAAGCCTTATTTACCAATTTAGAATACAGACTAATGTGTGTGAAAGTATTACTTTATGATGTGGTTTATGCACTGTTATGTTTACTTATTTAAACTTCAGTTGGACAGTTACAGCGCATGCATGCAAGCAGCAAGGATTAAGTTTAATTGGTTTTTGATAACTGGAAAAGTTATCTTGGCGAGTTGAATTGCCATCCATCAACTCGCTTGTTTTGAAATTTATTAAATCCCACCTGCATAAAACATATAGTGACAGTGAGTAACACTAATGAAATTGAAATTAATTTTAGGGGAAGCTAACTGGGTTGATAATATTTTACTCATTCATTCTTATATGATTCTAAAACTTCTAGTTCTAATACAGTATCAGATGCACTCCTAATTTAATTCATGTTATATAGCATAGTGTAACATTATAAAATAATACAGACATTAATTACACTATATTAATTAATGGCAATATGGCGATCACCACCGATTTTTGTAAGTAATAGGCCTAACAATAACACTACTAACAGTAACAGATCATTCAGTAATCCCAGAATTTGTAATTCAAATTATGTGACAATAAAATATTAATACAGTTATTTCGTTATACCGGCTTCTTGCATTCAAAAAGAAACACAATTTCTATCTACGCATAACAACTAATTTTACACTTAAGAATGAAGTCGAGTTTCTTCTTACAATTTATAAAATTTAAGCCTAATTTAACTCACTTGTAGCTCTGCTCGTTCAACTTCCCACTGCGTTCTTTCCACTTCAAATCTAGTCCATTCATGTTGAATAAAATGTAATATTCCAGGTATAGAATACTGAGATAATAAATTGTGGTCCTCTTGATTAAGTTTTCCATGTATATTTAATCCCCCTAGACCAAACTGACCTGTATTATTTTGATTAAGATTGTCATCCATCCTTATCTACTGTTCCATTTTCCCCTATTAAACTTAACAGTAGTATATGGTATACTCAACGCTTTGTGAAAATAGAAGAGGTCTTTTCCCGTTCTCGTGATCACGTGACTGCAACCCTCGTTGGGGTGTATTTAATGAATTTGACAAGAAGGGGGCCAGTTTAGTAATTATCTTAAATAAATATATATATATGTATGCATATCTGATAGAATTACTATGTATTAACTTTGCAGTAAAATCTTTTTGTTGAATTATATTATATCTATTAAACATAGTTTTAAGAAAAAGTTGATTTTAAAAAGATATCTCAAAAAGTAGATTTTCTGTAATAAAGCTTATTGACAAAATAATTTTTTTCAATGTTGATCAAGTTCAAGAATTCCAAAAAGAACATGTGAAATATCGCTTGTTATAAAAATACAAAGAATCAAGTACAACATGCTATAAAAACCAAAACAACACAGGCTTATTTTAGGAAACTCTCGGATTATCGATTTTACTGTAATCTGTCTTGATTAATTATGGTTATGAGTAATTTCAAACACGTTCCAAACCTTTAACACAAACATAAATAGTTTTGTGCATTATATTAGACGTTTCCTATATTCACCTCTGAAACGATTTTCATCAGTACACAGTTAAAACTCCACAGAAGCTTTCTAGGAATAATTGTTTTCATATTGTTATAAGCTATATTTTTAATGTTGTAACTTAGATGTTTGCTAAAGAAAGCTGTGGGTCGTAATGAACACATTAAGACTGAAAAATTTAATAAGTTTGGCCTAGAAAATACTAACAATTTGGTGCCATAGTTTTTAAGTAAATTCAAATGTAGGTTATAAATTTAGTGTTCGGCAAAGGATAAAAAAGATAGAGTTTATTCTCTAGCTGGTAGAGCAAATCAACCGCTGTCTTTTCGTTTCAGCTGTGAAGTGGTACAAGTAAGTTTATTTTTTATGTAATATAGTGCAAATTAGCTTCATTTGTAAACGTAGGCCTAAAATAAGTTAGAACAATGTAAACGTTTTCAAGCTTGTAAAAATGTTAAGGAAGAAATAAATTAACTTTTATCATTTACGCGAACTGGACGTTGAATTATTTTCACCATATAACTTAAAAGACCCAGCCAACGAAAAGACAAAATTATAACAATATTTCAGGAATAACAATTCCATCATTAATATTGTTACGACAGCAG